GGCTGAATATAGAAGACACCTGCTGCCACTCTAATCAGCTGATTTACTCAAAACACCTGCAAAGGCCTTTAAAAGGTCCCTCAGTCTTGTTTTGAAGGCACCACAATCATGGGGAAGACTTCTGACTTAACAGCTGTCCAAAAGACAATCATTGACACCTTGCACAAGGAGGGCAAGACACAAAAGGTGATTGCTAAAGAAGCTGGCTGTTCGCAGAGCTCTGTGTCCAAGCACATTAACAGACAGGCGAAGGGACGGAAAAAATGTGGTAGAAAAAAGTGTACAAGCTCTAGGGATAACCGCACCCTGCAGAGAATTGTGACGACAAACCCATTCAAAAATGTGGGGGAGATCCACAAAGAGTGGACTGCAGCTGGAGTCAGCGCTTCAAGAACCACCACGAGGAGACTCATGAAAGACATGGGATTCAGGTGTCGCATTCCGTGTGTCAAGCCACTCCTGAACAAGAAACAGCGCAAGAAGCGTCTCGCCTGGGCCAAGGACAAAAAGGACTGGACTGATGCTGAGTGGTCCAAAGTTATGTTTTCTGATGAAAGCAAGTTCTGCATTTCCTTTGGAAATCAAGGACCCAGAGTCTGGAGGAAGAGCGGAGAAGCACAGAATCCATGTTGCATGAGGTCCAGTGTAAAGTTTCCACCGTCAGTGATGGTGTGGGGTGCCATGTCATCTGCCGGTGTTGGCCCACTCTGTTTCCTGAGGTCCAGGGTCAATGCAGCCGTCTACCAGGAAGTTTTAGAGCACTTCATGCTTCCTGCTGCTGACCAACTTTATGGGGATGCAGACTTCACCTTTCAACAGGACTTGGCACCTGCACACAGTGCCAAAACCACCAGCACCTGGTTCAAGGACCATGGTATCCCTGTCCTTGATTGGCCAGCAAACTCGCCTGACCTTAACCCCATAGAAAATCTATGGGGTATTGTGAAGCGGAGGATGCAATACGCTAGACCCAACAATGCAGAGGAGCTGAAGACGACTATCAGAGCAACCTGGGCTCTCATAACACCTGAGCAGTGCCACAGACTGATCGAGTCCATGCCACGCCGCATTACTGCAGTTATTGAGGCAAAAGGAGCCCCGACTAAGTATTGAGTGCTATACATGCACATTCTTTTCATGTTCATTCTTTTCAGTTGGCCAACATTAGAGAAACAAACATTTTTTCATTGGCCTTTAGAATATTCTAATTTTCTGAGATACCAGATTTGATGTTTTCATTGGTTGTCACCTATAAATATCAAAATTAAACGTAATAAACATCGGAAATACATTGGTCTGTGTGCATTGCATGAATATAATGTACAAGTTTCACGTTTTGAATGGAATTACTGAAATATTTTCAACCTTTTGATGATATTCTAATTTACTGGCCAGCACCTGTATATGGTCCAAGCACTGAACCCTGTGGTACTCCACCAGTAACCCTGGAGTATGAAGATTTGTCATGTACATTTACAAAATGAAATCTATCAGACAGGTAGGATTTACCAGTCTAGCACTGTTCCTTTGATCCCTTCAACATCTTGTAACATCCAGAAATGGTCAGTTTTCACCTACATATTGACCTACATGCCACCAGTCATCTGCAGACATAAATTCCATTCTCTAAGGTGGATTTTACATTCTATCTTCCAACAAGCCAAGAAGATACTGCAGCTCTGAACACATGATAACGTATTGTCAACAAACTGTTCCCTTTTCAAGGCCTAAGCTTCCCTCGTAATTTCTACAGGATTCCTCATGCCTCTGAATAAAGTAATGAACAATATGGTTAAATGAAATGTTTTGATTAATCTGTGCTTAAATTACTGTGGTTGAAATGAATATTATTATGGTACGATCAGTAATTTTAGATTTAACAAGTGAATAATTATTTACACTCATTCACAATGTTCATCAGATAAAGTTAAAGTAATTTCTGCACATAGATATTTTCTTAGTCACAAATCACAGCATCCTGTATCTGAAAGAAGGTGTGATGTTCTGAGGTGTAATGATTTAAATTACATGTTATTTAATAAGCCATAAGGCGTAGGATTCCATAGGAAATATGAAATCCACCTTACGGATCTGTGATGTTATTTAAACCAGAAGATTGGAACTTTTTAATGCGGGGATTAGATAACAGCTTCGTATTCACTCAGAGACAACAGAAGAGAGAGTCAAGTTTAAAAGGTTAAAAATTTATTACTAAACAAATTAAAACTAGACTAACTTTAACACTAAATGTATGGTGTAACTAAGGTGAATGAGAACGGAGAATGGTGTGATGTGGAATGTTGCTCCGAACCAGCAAATCCGAAGCATCGATTAGTTCTGATGGGAACTGAAGGTGATGTCTTCGCGCTATGCTTTGGTTAGGAGATTCATAAACACATTTGACGCCATTTGCCGGTCTACATACCCTGACCGGAAGTCCCCGTCTAGATCAGGAGGTGTAAAGGTCCAGCTTGACCTTGTGGAGCCGGAGACTGTGGAAGCAGCTGCGGCAGCCGACCACCAGTCTTGAGATACTCCGGGGTCACGACAATTTTGTTGGCATCTAGTGAGACCCAAACCTGGTTCGTGATGGTTCAGCTTTTATTCTGAAAGGAACCGCTGCAGCAGTTGGAACAGCAACAGATTTTATCCAGCTTGTCGTTGGTTCTTTTGGCTGAAGAGGAAAGTTACGGATTGGCCACTCCGACAACTTCTCTAGAACGCTTTGAACTGGCGTTAAAGATGACGTGGGCATAGTTTTATACTTCAGATGTTTTGGTTTATGGTGGAATGAAAAGATGACAGATTTACCAAACACCACCAAAACCACGCCTCCGTCAGATCTGGCAGATTCTGATTGGATCAGTGAAAGCAATGTGTCGTCTCTTGACGCTACATGAGATCAGTCCTAGTGGAAACATTTAAAGTCATATTACTTATTATATTCTATAGGATTATAATAAAGTAATTAATACTTTTATTTAACAGATTGGTCACATCTTATTTATTGACTAACACTTTGTTTGATTAGCTTTATTAAAATAGAGTTCTTTGATTTATTAAAAGGAGAGAGTCCATTCTTCAAACTTCTCTTGAGCTGTAAAGAAAGCAGTTTATAACAAATGCATGAGACCTTGAGGCCATATCTCATTCAGACTAGTTCTGTGTCAGAGGAGAGGGGGAAAATGACTTTTGGTGGAAAACAGTCATTTCATACCGTTACACTATCTAGCAGGTGTTTGTCTCCAAAAAGTCGTTCAGCTGGATCATAACAGCTGTGTCTGAAGGTCCCACCAATGTTATGAGCCTATCAGAAGGATGTTGTGGTCCTCAGTATCAACAGCTGCAGTGAGATGGAGCATCAGCAGGACAGATGTTCTACCTGAATCTGTATTTAGACGAATATCATTTAATACTTTAATAAATGCAGTCTCAGTGCTGTGGTGTTGTCTAAAGCCTGACTGGATACTATCTAGCAGGTGTATGTCTCTAAAAAGTTCAGCTGGATCATAACAGCTTTTTCAATCATGTTCCCATGAAAGGAGATTAGAGATGGGTCTCTAGTTATTCATCACTAAGGGACCTAGTTTCCTTTTCTGTAGAAGAGGTTCACCAGCAGCAGTTTTCACTGAAGTAGGAAAATACCTGATACTAAGGAACAGTTAACGGTTTTCACTACATCAGCTTTTAAGCAGCTAAAACATTTTAGAAGAAGTGAGTTGGCAGGTTGTCCAGACAGCAGGTAGATGAGTTTAAGGCCTTAACTATGTTCTCCAGCGTTTTAGCTCTGATCACACTGAGAGCGGGTATTCTAGCCAGATTGTTACTGTGTGGCTGTAGCTGTGGTCTGGTTGTGATGCTTGATTTGATGTTCATGATTTCTTCATTGAAAAGGGATTCAAACTCATTAGACTTAGTTTGGGACATGAAATCAGGGTTTAACTGTGTTGGAGATTAGTTAGCCTCTCACTAGTAGCAAACAGAACACGGGTTAATATTGTAGCGGTCTGCGCCGCCCTCTAGCGGGGTGTGTGTGAAGCAGCAAAGAAGAGTCGACAGGTAGCAGACATAGAACACTTGTAATAGCCGGATGGCTCCCTTTTTCATCCTCCCACACATACATTTAACTCACGGTGCCAACAGGCACCAGATAAGAACAACACAGCGTGAACTCCAAATTGCAACAAACAACACTAACATAACCCCGAACAAAATAACCCTCAGAACACCACAAACTGAATAAGCAACCCCAATTTACCGTCCCCCCAGAGTGCAATGCGGCCTTGCCGGCCTATCAGTGGCAGGGCCGCCACATAATGACCACTGATGACTTTGGAGAAAAAGGCTTGCCTTGCTTTACTTAATCCAGAGTTGTAAGTGTGCAGCTACACTGTGAGGTCTCATAGTGATCTGGTGGGTTACTTTTTCTGAATCGATGCTCAGCTTTCCTGCATTTTCTTTTCGGATCTGTAACTGATGTAGTGAACCTCCATGGAGCTTTTTGTTTGCTACAGATAAGTCTGACCTTTTTGGGGTGCAACGGTGTCAAGGACTTTAAGAGTTTTGCAGATGAAGTGATTTAAAAGTGAATCAGCAAAGCTGGTTGTCGGACTTGTTGATGTATTCATGCGTTCTTTAAAAACCAATGCAGTGTGATCACCCAGATACCTCTGTGTAGCAGGTGAAATGGATATATCAGTTTCCGTTCCCTCTGCTTCACTCCCCCAGCCTCTTTTTACTACTTGTGTTATTATAAGCTAACCGGAAGAATGCCAACATGAAAAGGCACATGTTGCCACCTAATGTACCATAATGTGCATGTAAACTAGATTAAAGACTCCCAGATTCTTACAAAAGATCGACCTGGATTGACTTAGATGTCATTCAGTGTGCATGTAACTGCACTGACTGTGGCAGCAGCAGGGTCTTTTACCTGAAACTGACTTAGGAGAATTCTTACAATGACTTGACTAATTCATGCTTTGTCTTTGTTTATACAGAAACAAGTCTGTCATTCACTAGCAGATACTAGAGGTAAAGGCTTAAGGGGGATCCCCCCGACACACACACACACACATGCGCGCGCACACACACACACACACACACACACACACACACATACATGCACACACACGTTGACGTCAGTGAAGATGATTATGATGGTAATGTTTATGGTTAATGTGGTGATGATGATGATGATAATGATGGTGAAGATAATGATGATGGTGAAGAGGATGTTTAAGTGAATATGATGTTGATGATGATAATCATGATGGCGATTATGATGATGATGTGTATGATGATGATGCTAAAGATTATGATTTTTATGGTGATTATGATGGTGTATGTGAAGATGATGATGATGATTTTGATGATGATGATGAGAATGAGAATGAGAATGATGACGTAGGTGAAGATGATGATGATGGTGGTGATGGTGAAGAGGATGTTTATGGTGAATATGATGATGATGATTGTGTTGATGTTTATGATGATGATGGTGAAGATAATTGTTTTTATGGTGATTATGATGATGTATGTGAAGATGATGATGCTGAGCATGATGATGATGATGTACGTGAAGATGATGATGATGATGATGATCCTGATGACGATTTTGAACGTGATCTTTATGATGATGATGGTGAAGATGATAATGATGTTAATGGTTGATATGATGATGATGATGATGATGATGATGATGATGATGATGAATATAATGATGATATTTGTGAATATGATGATGATGTTGATGAAAATAATTAAGATGATGATGTTTATGATGATGATGATGGTGAAGATGATGATGTTTATGATGATGATGATGATGATGATGATGATGATGCACATGAAGATGATTATGATGATGATGTTTATGATGATGATGATGGTAATGATTGTGAAGTTGATGATGGTGAAGATGATTATGTTTATGGTGATTATGATGATGATGTACGTGAAGATGGTGTTCCCCTCCTTCCTTCTGCTTGATCTAATTTCTCCGTTTGATTGCTGCTAACTCTTCCACCTGTCCCTGTGATATTTTAATCCTGCACACCATAGTCCCTTTGTTTTTCCTGTGTGTTTGTTTCTAACACAAGTTTATGTATTTTTCTGTTTTGTTCAGATGGTGTTCCAGAACATTCGTCCTTGCTCCACGGCTCTTCAGCAGCTGTCAGATGCTCAGTAGGCAGTGTAGATCCTGTGTAGCAATCAGCAGCTACATCTGGCTACTGGGTCTCTGACATCTCTGCCTACATGTTGTAAAGAGCATCCACTTCGCTTGCAGAGGATTCCGACCTCATCACTGGCTGTGAAGACAGGGACATTATGTCATGATGATTCCTCCACTTCTTTTTCTTCTAAATACCTTCTGTCTGATGCCTTAAAAAGGTTGACTAAATGTTAAAGGGAGACCTTTGCTCTCTCCAGAACCTGGCATACAGTGTAGATTCCTGTGTGGTTCAGTTCTACAGCTACATTGTCTGCTGGGTTTCTGGCTGGCAACATAAGCAGCTATTATTACTGAACGAAATAATCCATTTTTACTGTCAGTGTTCCTGATGCAGACCAAAATGAAAAGATTTCAGATTAAAGAACTAAATGACTCCTGCTGTCATCGTGTGACTGAATTTCATTTCCATTTGAGGAGGTAAAAGTGTCACATTGTGCAGAATGTAATGCAATCCAGTCTGTCGCGGGAGTTAACCCTCAGCAGGAACATTCTGGGACAGCAGTGTTTTCCCTGCAGTCAACACACACGCGCACAAAGGATTTCCTTTTTCCACCTTCGGAATATTGCTAAGATTAGAAGCATCCTTTCCAGGAGTGATGCTGAAAAACTAGTTCATGCATTTATTACATCAAGACTGGATTACTGTAATTCATTACTCTCAGGAAGTCCACAGAATGTAGTTAAAAGTTTTCAGCTTGTCCAAAATGCTGCAGCTAGAGTTCTGATGAGAATTAAAAAGAGAGATCATATCTCTCCTGTCTTAGCTTCCCTACATTGGCTGCCTGTTAAATTCGGAATAGATTTTAAAATCCTTCTTCTCACATATAAAGCTCTTAATAATCAAGCTCCATCATACATCAGTGATCTGATTGTTCCATACGTTCCTAACTGAGCACTTCGCTCTCAGACTGCAGGTTTACTGGTGGTTCCCAGAATATCTAAAATTAGGATGGGACGCAGATCTTTTAGTTATCAGGCTCCTCTCCTGTGGAACCAGCTCCCAGGCAGACACCTTGTCTACTTTTAAGAATAGGCTTTAAGAATGGGGCCCGGCCGGACCAAGCCCGAACCGGATATATGGGCTCATCCAACTGTGGACTCACCACCTGCAGGAGGAACATGAAGGGTCCAGTGCAATGTGGACCGGGTGGCAGGCCAAAGCGGGAGCCTTGGCGGTCCGATCCCCGGACAAGAAAACAGTTTTTTGGGAAATGGAACGTCACTTCACTGGCGGGGAAGGAGCAGGAGCTTGTGGCAGAGGTTGAGCGGCACCGGCTAGATATAGTCGGACTCACCTCGACACATAGCATTGGCTCTGGGACCCAAGTCCTTGAGAGGGGTTGGGCACTCTCCTTTGCTGGAGTTGCTCCGGGTGAGAGGCGAAGGGCTGGGGTTGGCTTTTTGTTAGCCCCAAGACTCTCTGCCTGTGAGTTGGGGTTTACCCCGGGGGACGAGAGGGTAGCTTCCCTGCGCCTTCAGGTCGGGGAACAGGTGCTGACTGTTGCTTGTGCTTATGGGCCAAATATCAGTTCAGAGTTCTCACCCTTTTTGGAGTCCCTGGGACGAGTGCTAGATAGTGCTCCATCAGGGGACTCCATTATCCTGCTGGGGGACTTCAGTGCTCACGTGGGCAATGACAGCTTGACCTGGAGGGGTGTGATTGGGAGGAACGGCCCGCCTGATCTGAACTCGAGTGGTGTTTCTTTATTGGACTTCTGTGCAAGCCGCAGTTTGGCCATAACGAACACCATGTTCAAACATAAGGATGCCCATCGGTACACTTGGTACCAGGGCAGCCAAGGTCGCAGGTCGATGATAGACTTTGTAGTCGTATCATCTGACCTGTGGTCGTATGTTTTGGACACCCGAGTGAAGAGAGGAGCGGAGCTGTCAACTGATCACCACCTGGTGGTGAGTTGGATCAGATGGCAGGGGAAGATGCCGCGTAGACCTGGCAGACCTGGCAGACCCAAACGCATAGTGAGGGTCTGCTGGGAACGCCTGGCAGAAGAACCTGTTAAGACAGTCTTCAACTCCCACCTCCGGCAGAGCTTTGACTCCGAGTGGGCCTTGTTCCACTCTGCGATTGTTGAGGTGGCTGTTGCTAGCTGTGGTCACAAAGTGGCCGGTGCCAGTCGTGGTGGCAACCCTCGTACCCACTGGTGGACACCAGAGGTTCGGAGAGCCATCAGGCTGAAGAATGAGGCCTACAGGGCGTGGCTGGTCTGTGGGTCTCCGGAGGCAGATAGCCAAGTGGGTGGCAGCAGTGGCAGTTTGCCAAGGCAAAATCTCGGGCGTGGGAGGAGTTTGGTGAGACCATAGAGAAAGACTATCGATTGGCTCCAAAGAGGTTCTGGCAAACTGTCCAGCGCCTCAGGAGAAAGAGACAGCAACTCGCTCACACTGTTTACAGTGGGGATGGGGAGCTGCTGACGTCACCTGGGGCTATAGTCAGGCGGTGAAAGGAATACTTTGAGGAGCTCCTCAATCCCACCTATGTGCATTCCGAGGAGGAACCAGAGCCGGGGGACCTGGGGATGGACTGTCCAATCTCAGGGGCAGAAGTTGCTGAGGTAGTCAAACAACTACACAGCGGCGGAGCCCCGCGGGCGGATGAGGTTTGTCCTGGGTATCTCAAGGCTAAGATGTTGTAGGGCTGTCATGGTTGACACGTCTCTGCAACATTGCGTGGTCATCGGGGGCAGTTCCTGTGGAGTGGCAGACCGGGGTGGTGGTCCCCATCTTTAAGAAGGGTGACCTGAGGGTGTGTTCCAACTATAGGGGGATCACACTCCTCAGCCTCCCTGGAAAGGTCTACTCCAAGGTACTGGAGAGGAGGGTCCGATCGATAGTTGAATCTCAGATTGAGGAGGAGCAATGTGGTTTTCGTCCTGGCCGTGGAACTGTGGACCAGCTCTATACCCTTGCAAGGGTGATGGCGGGGGCATGGGAGTTTGCCCAACCAATCCACATGTGTTTTGTGGATTTGGAGAAGGCTTATGATCGTGTCCCCAGGGGCACCCTGTGGGGGACGCTCCAGGAGTATGGGGTGGGTGGCTTTCTGTTAAGGGCCATTCAGTCCCTGTACCAGAGGAGCGTGAGTTTGGTCCGCATAGCCGGTAGTAAGTCGGACCTGTTCCCGGTGAGGGTTGGACTCCGCCAGGGCTGCCCTTTGTCACCGGTTCTGTTCATTACCTTTATGGACAAAATTTCTTGGTGCAGCCGTGGTGTGGAGTGTGTCGAGTTTGGTGGCAGGAGAATCTCGTCTCTGCTTTTTGCGGATGATGTGGTCCTCCTAGCTTCATCCAGCTCTGACATTCACCTTTTGCTGGGTAGGTTTGCGGCAGAGTGTGAAGTGGCTGGGATGAGGATCAGCACCTCCAAATCTGAGACCATGGTTCTTGACCAGAAAAGGGTGGCTTGCCAACTCCGGGTCGGAGGAGAGGTCCTTCCTTGAGTGGAGGAGTTTAAGTATCTTGGGGTCTTGTTCACGAGTGATGGTAGGAGGAATCGGGAGATCGACAGGCAGATTGGTTCGGCGTCTGAAGTGATGCGGACGCTGAGCCGATCTGTCATGGTGAAAAGGGAGCTGAGCGAGAAAGCCAGGCTCTCAAGTTACCGGTCGATCTACATCCCAATCCTCACCTATGCTCATGAGCTTTGGGTAATGACCAAAAGAATGAGATCACAGATACAAGCGGCCGAAATGAGTTTCCTCCGTAGGGTGGCCGGGCTCAGCCCTAGAGATTGGGTGAGGAGCTCGGACATTCGGGAGAGACTCAAAGTAGAACTGCTGCTCCTCCGGATCGAAAGGAGCCAGTTGAGGTGGTTTGGGCATCTGGTCAGGATGCCTCCTGGACGCCTCCCCGGGGAGGTGTTTCGGGCATGTGCTGCTGGCAGGAGGCCCCCGGGTCGACCCAGGACACGTTGGAGAGGTTACATCTCCAATCTGGTCCGGGAACGCCTGGGGGTCCTGCCGGAGGAGCTGGTGGAAAAGGTCGGGGAGAGGACAGTCTGGGGCTCCCTAGTTGGGATGCTGCCCCCGCGACCCAGACCCGGATAAGCGGAGGAAGACGATGACGAGGGCCTATGGTTAAAATCTGATGTTAGCCTAGATCTGGACAAGTGGGGGAGTAGAGGGAGGTGGAGTGTACAGTCGGTAAAGACGGCTCTCCCTTGCCCTGCTTCCAACATGCCTCCATCTAAAAAGGCTAGGTTATCCAGAGTTATCTCTGTAGTTATGCTGCTATAGGCTTAGACTGCTGGAGGATACACTGACTACTTTCCACACTCTACTACTTTCTTCTACAATCTGCTCTCAAACTGTATTATTTCCTGCTATTTCAGCTGTTAACTTTATTTTTTCTCTAAGTGTTTTTCTCCCCAGAAGAAGCAACAACGATGTTCTGCTGAGCTGTGGTGGCCTTATGGAGGGGGCCATCGTCTAGCACACTGCTGCTAGCACTTAAACTTTCTCCCTGTGCTGATAATAACTTTTAGTTTCCTTGACGTTGGATGTGCTACTACTAGTTTACCCATTTAATTATAGATTCACTAGGATAAATACAATAAAGTTTATCTCTTGCCAAATAGAATAATTACTAAGCAATCACGGTGTAACCATAGACACCGTGTGTGTGTGTGTGTGTGTGTGTGTGTGTGTGTGTGTGTGTGTGTGTGTGTGTCTGCTCTGTCTTCTCCATCCCCACTGAGTCGTGGAGGATGGCTGCTTATACTGAGCCAAGATCCTCTGGAGGTTTCTTCCTGTTAAAAGGGAGTTTTCCTCTCCACTGTTGCTATATGCTTGCTTAGTATGAGAATTGCATCAAGTCACTGAATTTGCTGGGTTCCTTGTATAGGAAACTTTTTTTCTGATTGGCTTAATTAACTGACCTGAATTGGAATGTTTATTATGTGAAGTGTCTTGAGATGACTCTTGTGATTTGGCGCTATATAAATAAAATTGAATTGAATTGAATTGAATTTAAAGACACATTATAATGCCAAGAAAGCGATATATTTGGATGGGCGGGAAAAGTTATTTTAGGGTTTCTGTGAAAATACGCAGTGGACTACACTATAATGCTTACCGAGCACAAAGCATTATGGGGAGTGTCGAAGAAAAGAGCATTAAAGGTGAAGAAAACCTCTATAATTCTGGCCATGAGGAAAGTGATAGCTATGCTGGAGGATAAACAGTCAGTAAAGCAAAAGGCAGCAGGCAGAACAAGCTCTACAAGGTCTGTGAGTAATCGAGGCGTTAGCCATTTAGCTAGCGTTAGCCAGCCTACGTCATTACGTACGACCAAAAATAACATCTGATTTGTAGTCATGTTGTTTACGCAATTTTAAAAGCAAATCAGTCAGAAATCACAAGGCAAATACAGTAGAAATCCACATCATTATTTATCATTTAAATTGCAGTGCAGCATATGTGTGATTCAGAGCATGAGGCGAAGCAGGTCAGAAAATAATTTTTATCACTCCATTGACTTCCATCATTATTTTTTAGTCCAAGGGACCCACGGTCGACCGGAAGGGAAGGTGACTTAGCCTCCCCATTCTTTGACGAAGTTAGCTGGTAGACAAGGTGGTATGTCTTTTAGAACCATCGACATTAATATAAGTTAGAACTTAGTAATGAAGAGATGGGGCTCCAAAAAATCCTCAGGGACTTTAATTAGCTGATTTTAATCCAAAATATATTCAAAATACATCAGTGTCTTCATTTAGTCTCAAACTGAATCTAAACAGAAATAAATCATCTTGCGGCTGCCAAAACACTGCATCAATAAAGCCATACATAAAAGGGGAAATTACTAAAATAGGACTCTATTCCCTTTATCATGTAAAACAGCACATTAACGCTGAACATAAAAGTTTCCTCAGAAACACAGTGGCAACCCCCCCCCCCCCCCCCCCCCCCCCACAAAAAAAAAACAGTGGAGCCATCTTGTGGCCCAAAAAATAAATGCAATGCAGCATGCTGACCGCACACTCAGTTAAAAGATTACACCAGCCCTACATTAGCACTGCTGGTAAAAGACAACTTTTACTTAAGTTTTTGTCATTTATTAAACACAGAACATCAGCGGATGGAGATGAAACGGATCACAGCCGGCCGGGCTCCTCCACTCATGGTCACACAGTTGAGGACAGGAAAACGGAAACGCTCGTTTCTAATAAACGAGATCATGAACGGTAACTCTGTATGTGATTAGAGAGGAGCTGAGGCTTTATTACAAAGACCATGTCACACTTAGGCAGCCCACTGGCCAGCCTTTCTGCGTGGAGTTGCGTGTTTTCACCATGCATGCGTGGGTTTCCTCCGGGTACTCCGGTTTCCCCCACAGGTCACCACATGCCCTATAGGTTATAAATTGTAAGTCGCTTTGGATAAAAGCGTCTGCTAAATGAATAAACACAAAAATCTAGTGTCTGTAGATTGTAGTTGCAACACCAATGGCTGTTGAAAGCTAGAAAGATGAGTCATACAGGGCAAGGGCTAATTTCTGCACCGTTTATTTGATAACCGTATTTAATGTCAGCCTTTTTATTCAGCATAGCCGCTGCCCGGTGACTCTCAGTTAAATTTTAGATTTTAATTGTTTTTAAGTCGCTGAAGGTCTTGCCCCACCGTATCTTTCTGAGCTTTTCTCCATATATGGAGAAAATGTATATGTGTGTAATCACATATGCGCTGACAGTGAGCTGCGCTGAACAGTGTCCAGCTCAGATGTTCAGATGGAAATCTTTTCTTGAGTGATTTAGCTACATCTGCGATATGCGTAGAATAAAGTGTCAGTTCGTCTGCATGCGTCGGGTAATTCTTTCTATTCTTTCTCCGTCAAAATAAACGGTCAAATACGGGAACTGTCCGGTCAATACAAGCCCTGCTTTTAACTGTTTTGTTTTCTTGTGAAAATATATATAATTAAACTTGATTAACACCAGAGTCCGGCGCACTGCGCCGTTGTCTCCGTCACTGTAAATGAGGGAAAAACAAATTGATCGGATCCTTTTCTGACCTTCCCCACCTACAAAGTTTAATTACAACAATCAAACGTGACAGAGCCTGAATTTGTATTCTGAACAGTCTAAACATGTTTTAAAAAGAAATGTATGACAAAAGTGGCACCTGCTCAGTAAAACCATCAACAGGGTAAAAAATAACAAAATATTGACGGCAGAGACAGGCTACAACTTCTGGATCCACTTTATATAAATCATTTTATTGATTATCTTCTTATGAAAGATAGCTTTGACGTACACGAGCGACCGGTACTGGCTGCTGTCACCTGTTGTGAGCAGCTCTCTGCTGTCTGAGGGTAGGCCCCGCCCACAACGCCGCAGCTGCTGTGGCTCCCAGTGTTTTCTTTACTGTGAGAAACGGGTAATAATGGCTCTTTGATGGGAACAGGTTGCCGACCCCTGGTTTAAGTGTTTCATTTTTTTAAAATGAATTCGATTAAAAATAAAGGCGCCCGGCCCGGCCCGTGGTAATTACACAGTCATTGGCCCGAATCCCAGCCCGAGGGCCGTCAGGCTTCAGTGCAGGGCTCTAATTTATGGACATGAACAAAAACAGGAAATATATAAATTGAGATTTATTTAATTAATATAACAAATAAGGGGGAGAGAGTCATTTAAAGGCACATTCTTCTGGAAGCTCCTGATCCTGACGACACCACCAGAGGAGACCAGCTGCAGACACGAGAGGCCTGATGATCACTAGATTTCTTCTGATTGGAGTGGGAGGATATCTGGTTTTCTGGAAATTTGGGAAGACGGGAGCGATTGGAGTGCGACCCGTACCCTCGGAATGTGCCGCCCGTGCGGTGACCTCACAGACTGGGACGTTACTCGAGGTGAACCGTAAGCTGGACAATGTCCTCGCTGCGTTGCCTGTGTTGGTGCGCAAGATGGATGTCATCTCGGAGAGGGTCGCCGGACGGTGTGGGGATGTTTAGAACTATAATTGGCTTCACTGGTGGACATGAATGATCACTTAATAGACTCCAAGGCAGAGAGGAAAACTTATCTCTGTCTACCCTAAACAAAGTCTTGTTTATCCTTATCTGACGCCAAGGCAGCCTCCAAAGCTGCCATCAATATCACCCCCACGAAAGGAGGAATGCTGACAGATACTGTGACCCGACCTTCCCCCCCTGCCTTCAGATTGTGACTTCTGCTTCGAGGTCATCAACCTGCAGGAAACTCAATGTGCTCTCTGGCCCTCGTCTCTCCCTCCCACCTGTTTGACTGCAGCTGTGAGCGCCGTACACTGGCAGCTTCCGTTGGAGGATCCCCCCCCCGCCTCCCTATCGCAGTCTGATGTTTTGTAACTGTGATGTTCGTGCTTCTATGTTGAGGAGTTTTTTTGTATAATAGAGCTACTTCCTGCTGGGGCTAACTCTGCTATGCCTTTTTACCTTACCCCAATTATCCTCATGTAACACCCTTTTCATCTAATGAAATGAGCGCCGTTCTGGCTGCTCTCGTGGACTGCCTGTACCTGTCTTGTCTACATGTGTGTGTGTTTAACCTTGGTCAGGTTGTGTTTGCAGAGTCAAGTTCCTATGCTCTGGGTCGCTGGAGCACTGGCAATAAAGCTTATTCTGATTCTGATTACCCATCCATCTTTGTCACTGCCGCGGCTCCGCCCTCTTGGTCCGCCAGGCAACGCCTACTAATGTTGCAGTTTTTAAAATTGATACTTGGGTGGAGAAGGACTCTGAGACACGCTTGACCTGCTCTTTAAATAAGTCTGCTTAAGCATGGTTGAAAAGCAACGTGTGACTTTCATTAAATTTCCTAGAATTTTTATGTATTACTTTTGTCAAATTCAAGTAATTTCTGTGACTGTTTGGGTTATTTTTGTTCAATGATTGAAGGATGCCAACAAATTTGTCCATGTATATTTAGAGTGGGATGTAAAAGTTTGAGCAGCTTTTGTTACTCTTCATGAATTCCCTGTATAAATCTTTGGTTAAAATCTTCTGTTAAATATATCATCTAGGAGACACACACAGTGATATTTGTGAAGTGAAACAAGGTTTATAGGACTTACAGCAAGTGTGCAATAATTGTTTTAACAAAATTGAGTTGATGCATAAATCAGAGATTGCATAGTAGTTTTTTCCTGTATCTCTGTTACCCTAGAATGGGCCGGCAACATGTCCAGTGTGTTGCTTTCTCAGAGACTGCTGGAGATAGGCACCAGCCCTCCACAACCCTGCGTAGACAAGCGGGTATAGAAAATGGATGGATGGAAAAATATATTGGACTAATAATTTCATTCACATCTATTAAAAAAAAAACATCTCTCTCTCTCTCTCTCTCTCTCTCTCTCTGAGAGAGAGAGAGAGAGAGAGAGAGAGAGAGAGAGAGAGAGAGAGAGAGAGAGAGAGAGAGAGAGAGAGAGAGAGAGAGAGAGAGCTCTCTGTCGAGAGAGAGAGAGAGAGAGTGTTTTAAAGACAACAATAAAGCCACAAAGGACACATGGACTTATTCCTTCACTTTTATTTACTAACAGAGTGAGAACCATAGCCTTCCAGAATCTTCAGCAATTTAATTCAATTTTATTTGTATAGCGCCAAATCACGACAAGAGTCAATTCATGGCACTTCACATAGTAAACATTCCAATCCAGGTCAGTTCATTAAGCCAATCAGAAAAAAGGTTTCCTATATAAGGAACCCAGCAAATTGACACTAGTCAGTGACTTTACAGCAATCCTCATACAAAGCAAGCATTTAGCGACAGTCGAGCATCAATTTGTTCCGTAACAAAATACATTAAAATAAGAGGCAGGGGACACAGATATGTCCAATACAGTCCCTACCAGTTTCTAAACCTACACTGTTTGACAGAAGTAAACTACACCTGTCATTGATGGATTCTTATGGCATGTCAAGTTGAATTTCAATGTTCTGACCAAATGCAGCAGAATAGGAGTGCATGTCATTGTTCACCTAAATAAATGAAACAGCAATATTATTTTGACCTCTGTGTGCTTTTTAAAGCAGGTTTGTAGTCAAGCGTTTTGGGGAAATAACACTAATTTTATTACAGTGTTAAAATTAGCTGCAGCATATTAAGTGGTAATGAGCGGCTGCTACTCTCAGACAGGATCTTCAGATGTCTGAGGCCCAGACTTGTCCTAGGATGCCATGCCCAGCAGGAACCCTCCAATGAAACCACTGGTAACGACCACGTTCTTCTTCACAAATGCTTTGGACTGGGAAAGAGAGAAAGTATCTTTGTCAGCAAACCAGTAAAAAGTGTAGGGCACAGGCACCTCAAATTACCTGAAAGAAATTATTCAAATGGTTTAATGTAAAACCAGTGAGATGTTGCCTTTCCACCTGTGGTGATTTGACAGTTATTTAGGAAGCTGAGGTGTTAATACCTGTGGAGTCAGGTGATAAAAGCAGCACAGGTTAATGAGTCACTAGCAGACAGATTGATTTTTGCGGCATTCGTTCCACCTCACTTGGTGGTAATATTGTGGTGATTGTCTGTCTTCAGCCCAAAACACACCAGCTGCAAAGCGCTGCGAAGTGGATTGCTCACAAAATTCGCTCGCTGTCCGCTCCTCCTCTGTTCACATCAGGAGAGAAATTTCAACAAGCGCTTCTGCTCATGCCTACTGCTAGGGTTTGGGTTAGGGCATGTTTTGAAACACGCCTCCCCTGGTAGAAGTCCCTAATACCCATTTTCTCGTAGCTGTGAGAAGTTGATTTCATGCTGCGGTTGAGAGTGTTTTAGTCTGTGACCTTCACGTTACAGACTACTGCTTTAAACCTCCACCAGTACCAGAGTGGATGTTCTGACTAATTATTTCTTCAAACCACACATGTAGCAACTTTAAAGCTACCTCTTGGGAGAGGTCTAATGGTGAGTACTACCAGAATGCTAACCGCTAGCTGAATACTTAAACAGTTCGATGGAGCTTCAGAAACGCTGCCTTTTCCACATCTGTGTGAGCGTGCGCAAAAGACTTGTCAGTCCTCTCAATTCTGTGAGAAATTTTAGGGAGTAATTCATGCCTAAAAACAGAGTTTCATCAATATTGATATCGCTATCAGACAACCAATGAGCTAAGAGTGATGGTCACAATTATATTTGGATGACAAAACATGAGTTCAAGTTTAAGTTTATTTATATAGCGCCAAATCACGACAAGAGTCGTCTCAAGGCACTTCACAAAATAAACATTCCAGTACAGGTCAGTTCATTAAGCCAATCAGAAATAATGTTTCC